GAATGCCTGAGATGTCTGCAATGGTTTATGCCTTTACTAAATTGATGTGCTTAACTAGTAACTTGCATTAAGCAAAACTGTGGGGTGTTTATCAGAAAAATCTATAACTGCAAGCACAGAAACAAAAGATGAACAAATGTGTCTGGATCTGTTTCTTTCCTACTAATTCCACAGCCTGTGTTATGACTTATTAAATTTATTTTCTCAGCTGGCTGGATATCTTTGCAATAAGTACCATTCTTGTCATGCTGGAAAGGAACAGTCCAAGGGCATGATGCTTCTGCTGGAAGGCAGGAAGAACCAGTGTCAGACTGAATGGTCCATCTAGCCCAGCAGTCTGGCTTCAACAGTGGCCAAACAACAGACTACGGCATGGAGAGCTCACAGGCCAATTCCCTTCCATGCTGCCAGCATCCTCAGTTTCTGCTTAGGAATGTAAAAGGGTTCAACACTGCTCAGTTATTCTAGTCTTCGCTGAACTTGGAAGAATAAAAGAGACCACTGCTCTGGCACTTCTGTTAACATTTGATTTTTGTTATTATAAGCCAGTGCCCATGTACTACTCACAGTTAATACAAACTGGATTTATACTGTTTAAGCAGGTTTGTGATTATCTAAGTACGTGATCAGGTAGTTTTTCAGGGATAACTGACTGCCTCTACCACTGCCGTATTTATGTAGAGTATTTGAAGGAGTTACGATATTTGATTATCAACTGGAACAGCATGGGAGTTAGAAGTGCAGTGGGTTTTGCTATCTAACTAAAAAGAAATGGCTTGCATCATGCCAAAAAGGATCACATTTCAAGTCTTGTGTGTTTGAGAAGCTTAAGATAGGCATCTTAATGCCCATGTACCTTTCATTTTATTAGAATTGCTAGATAATTGGTTTCCATTTCAGATGTCATGAAAGGGCAATTTTGCTTGAAAGCATGCAAGAAAAAAAACTCAGAAATTCCTCCAAGGGTAAAGAAAGCTAAAAACAGTTCAAGATATTAAAGAATCCATTAACGTATTTACTGTACAGTGCCCTTGATTGGACTAATTACCAGGCCTCTTAACTTAAAACTTACTGTTTATCTTCAATTCTGAATATTACTACACTACCAAGGATTCCTTCTCAACTCAGTTTGACCTCTGTGTTTACTGACATGTTGATTTCTAAGTTCTCCCATAGTTCATTCAATAACCAATAGAAACCATACAGTCTTTAAGGAATAAAATAATCTTAAAAACACAAGAAGCTCAACATTTTATTTTTTTAAAATATGTTAATAATCACAAGAAATAATTCATGCTAACTTCACCACTCTGATTACCAAAGTCAGCTTTTCCTCCCAGCATCACCTAATCTGCCTTCTTGAAGTTCTTATTTCCTAAGTCATGTTTTATGCTCCAGGAAGTTGGCAGTGGTAATGTGGTCATCATTGTGGTTGAATGAAGCAGACCATTTTTAGAACAATTGTGGGGTCTCCCTTTCAGGTGTTCCCTCCTGCTTTGTAATGATATAAACTCCTTACATAATATCGACAGCCTTCCCCTCCTCTTCCTAATACTGTCACTGGTAGGCTATGTGAATAGCCATCACTAATTCAGAAATCTTAAAGCTGTCCCAGCGTTAGCACTTAAAAGACATTGCAGGCAAGATGCATCAACACAACTTGGGAAGGAAAAAAACACAAACAAACAAAAAAACCCCAACAAAACACCACACACAAAAACCCCAAAAAACCAAACCAAACAAAAAAAAAAACACCAAAAAAAACCCCAACAAACAAACAAAAAAACCACCACAAACCCAAACCACAAAAAAAAAATCTCAAACACTGTTACCTTCCACTTGTGTTGCTGCATTTCTCTGGAGCCTTACAGAACTGTGGATTTTGACAGAGAATCAAGAGACACAACCTTCAGCCCCTGGCTAAGCACCTGACCTCATTCTTGAACACAAGTTCCTCCTCCACATCTCAGAATCCCTCCACCTCTGTGCATGAGTCCCTTCTTGCTTCTAAGCATTGCATCCTGTACATACAGAACCAGAAAGCTGGCCTCGGGTGAACACACTTAATCTGTCATAACTTCTCTAGTTAAGATAGAGCAAACGCTACCTCAAGGGAAACACAGTAAGGAAATTACATGGAAAAACAAATGAGGGCTCCAGTACTCCCTTTAGATTAAGGGCAGAATATGTATTTGATACAACTTACCCATAAAGGAGCTGAAAATTGAAAAAAAAACACAAAAACAACCAAAACAGAAAAAAAACCCAAAAACCTTCAAGGTGATGGGCCATTACCGCTATTCTCATGGCATTTTGCAAGATATTTGAGGAAGACGCTCAACCTTCTCAAAACTGAAGTCGTGTCTTTAATACTGTAGGCAAGCATGCAGGATGTCCTCCCCTTTAAGAAGTGCTGTCCCTGTAGCTATGAGCTAGAACTTGTCATTACTGCCCCCAGTGCTGGCTGAGCACGGGGAGCACAGTTCACCTCAGCCACCTGCTTTTCAAGCTATTGGTGGTTAGGAAGAGCCAATGGTTGTGCGGAATTTTACCTTTCAAGAATCATTGTCAAAGGAACATAGACTCATCTATACCTCCTATTCACATCATCGGTAAAGGTGTGTGTTTATACTGACACGTAGCAGGAGCTGTCATATCCAGAAACCATGTGCACTATTTCAACTACTCACAACAGTCTACAAGCCATTATTTTAGCATCTGGAGCAAATCTTAAGACCTTGCTCCAATGCTCAACTGTACCAGTAGCCCACTGTGTCCTCTTCACAGAAGCTGCAAGGCATTCACAGCATACTGTGCCTGTATACAACACAGTCTGGACACAAGATTGGTTTCTACATCAATCCTGTAAAAGGTAACTGGTAACATTTGGAATGTCCTGCTACTATATTCAAATCCCCATTATCTTCCCCACACACACACCCCACCCCTTCTTTTTCTTTCTGGAATTATGAAACCAGTAGAATATTTTTAAGAACTTGATTAGTGTTCATAGTG